TAGATTAAAGGCTTGTTCTTATTGAAGTGGATAGAAGAAGATCAAAAGCTGCAAAGACATAATTATTGTGGGAACATGGAATATAAGAAAAATGAACATGGGAAAGCTCAACACAGTGAAACACGAAGATGTAGCAACTCCACATTTACATGTTAGCCAACAGCAAATTGAAACAGACTGGACACTAAGTAGTTCACACTGTTTACACCTCAACACATGAAAAGCAAAGAAGGGACAGTGCTGCTTTCATAGTCAGGAAGGAATATAGTAAGGATACTACTTGGATACAGTACAAACAGTCAATGACAAAATAACATCAATAAGATATTGCATAAACTTTTCAAGACGTACAAGATGTGTGGATGTCATTTCCTAGTTTCCTAATTGCTTGTCTTACCAATAGGTGAAAACTTGTTTTACCAACCTTACCAACAAAAATGAAATTGAGAGGATAAGTACCACTAGAGATAAAGAGACATACTTTTCCTAGCTTGAAAGCTCTCCAGCTATGTGGGCTACTCAATTTTTCATCAATGTCTCTACTAGAAATTCTGAGAAACTAAGCCCACACATCTGGAGAGCACTAAGATTGTGGAAATATGTCTTGAAGACTGATAGGCAGATCTATAACCTTTAGTCCATTCTTTGTTTGGGGCACATAAGGAACTGATAAGAAAAATGTCATGACACTAATTTTTGGTTTCTCTTTTTTGAAGATGCTTCTGTGGTAGGAAAAAAATTAGAATAAAAAAGATGGCAGTTTATATATAGAAAAATATCCCCTCTACAATAAAATGCCATAACTTTTCGTTATTGATCAATGCCATGTCTATTTCATCTTTCTTATGAAAGAGCAGATGCCCAGATAAGACATGGTTGTAAAATGTACCCATACAGTTGCTAGGTAATTGCACCATATATTTCTCCTGCTCATGTGTTGCAAAACAACAAACCAGAATTGCTATGAATATGCAGCAGGCATTCAAGGAGAGACTGTCAAATCATAGAAATATAAAGCAGAAAGAACAATCTTGAATCTTTTTGAACTTGTAGACCAAAGGTAAGTTTCTCTTGGAAATCATTTAAAGATCAAACATTTATTTACTTTTGAGACATATCTTGTGGGACTCATTTCTGAGCCTAGAGTTGGTTATAGAATTTATCAAGAATGCAATCAGGACCATGGACAGCTCAAATAGAAAGTACATGTAAAATCCATATTGGTTCATCAATTTGTACTGAGGGATTTAAGGTAAATTCTACCTAATGCTGAGTTTGATACCCCATGCCTACATGAACCACACTTTGGAATTTCCTAGAAGAATTACAGGCAATCCTCAACTTACAACCATTCGTTTAGTGACTGATCAAAGTTACAGTGGCACTGAAAAAGGTGACTTATGAACATTTTTCACATTTTCGACTGTGGCAGTGTCCCAGGATCATACGATAAAAATTGGCAACTGGCATGTATTTATGGCTGCTGTGTCCCGGGATCTGGTAATTATGACATATGATCATGTGATTGCCTGTGATCATGTGATTGCCATTTGCTGGGGAAATAAATGGGAAGTCAGCAGTTGGTTGCAATTGGTGACCACATGACATACTCATTTAATGATCCATTGTGGTTTGTTTAATGATTACAACTGGAAATGCCAGAATCTCCATCACTAAGTGGTGCAGACATGTGAGATATGCTTCATGACCGTGTCCTTTGGCAATAGAAATTCTACTCTTATGTACCATTGTTAATCAAGGGCTACCTATACTCATTTCACATGGGAACTGGTATCTGCTTTTTGTCTGGTTACCTGTACATAGGCTTTAGTGAATTGAAGAAGGTGAGAGGTAGTAGAATAACAGAACAAGAGGTAGTCTTATTGATAGCAGATTCACAGGGATTACTAGCATTAAAAGCAAGATTAAATAGGACAATTTTGCCATTCACTCCAATACTGCTCTATCTCAAAACTGTTCTTGACTCAACTCTTTTATTTTCTTCTATGAACCAGAATTTGTCAAGTTATTTGTAGGACTGATAGTATCCTTAATATTTTTAGCCAGGGAACCATTGGACACATTTAGAAATTTCAACACATACTGAAAATGGCCAGTGAGATATCTTGGGCACTTTTTAGCCAACACTTATCACACTGGGACTAAGTTTGGTGCTGAGAAACTGGAAGACTATGAGTTCTAGTCCTGCCTTAACTATGGAAGCCAACTGAGTGATCTTGGGCCAGTCACTCTCTCTCAATCCAACTCACCTCACAGGATTGTTGTTGTGGGGAAAATAGGGGGAGAAAGGAGGACTGGTATATTCACCACCTTGAGTTGTATATGAAAAAAAAGTGGGATAATTTCTTTTTTTAAAAAAAAAATCCTAGACTGGAAAGAATTTATCCCCAGGTGTTCAGAAATATATTCTTCTTGCTATCTGCAATCTTTTTCCTCTTTCTAATTGAACCTGGAAGTTTCTTAAGACACAACTCCTGTTCTGTCTCTGTAATTTAGCAATCCTACAAAAAAATCTCCACCTTCTTTTTTAATAACTGTCAGCTGAACTTGCAACCTGCCTCCTCTGCAGCTATTTTGCATTTGTGATGCTGTGAACTGTCAGAAAAATCTGTTGCCTTTTGGTCTGATTCACAAGGAGCCATTTCACACCATCCTTTGAGCCCTCAGTGAGTGGGGAATATGCCTCTGTGAAGCCCCACCAATATTGTGAGAAACCAAGCAAGGGAATTTTGGCTCTTTCTCAAACTTTTCTTCTTTCTCCCATTGCCTGACTCATCTTTTAGCCAGCTTTATTTGTGGCAACACAAGGCTCTGTGTTGCTATGCATTTTTTTTCTCACCACCTCCAGACCTGACATCTTCAGCAGAACAAAAGTATGCTATTATAACAGAGCATAAAATGGGTCTGAGTATTTTACTACTGACAATTTAAAAACAAAGCAAGAAGGGAGAAAGACTGGCACATTTTATTAGATTATACAGGTGGTCAAGAATTTTTAAGGTGATAACTATCTCTAACTCAGCTTTCTTTTCCTTTAAATTTCCCTTCTTTCCATGATACAAGCTCCTGTGCCAATGAACAAAGTAAGTAGTCTTGAACTTTCCATTTCAGCCCCATGAGAATTGAGTAAGCTGAAAGAGCCAATTAGTCCACTTCTGTATCTTAAACATGCTTGGTTCTCTGTGTAGCTTTAATTTGTGGATCCTACCACTTTTTGACTGAAACGCTGATGCAAACCAATCTGATGCAAACCAACCTGTGTGGGATTGCACTATCAGCAGTCGTATCTGCTCAAGGAATTTTATTCCAAATCTGTTTGATTTCTAGGAGCACTTGTATCTTAACTGAATTCCCCTTGATAAAAATCTTCAAGTTTTTAAACAAAATCAAATGCTCCTCAAATCCAGATTTTCACCATTTAACTCTCCAGGCCAAAATGCTATGGAGGTTTCATGAAAAGCCAATGAAAGGATCTTCCCCCTCCAACCTCGTGCTCTTCACCTCTGCCTAGTATTTCAGATCCTGTAATTCCAATGTCAATGCTGGATTGGCATCATGAGAACTGAAGTCCAGCAAACCTGGAGATCTTTTAGGTCCAGAAGGTAGCCTTCATGTCTCATGAAGGTTGACTGAGCCTTCCATCTTTCCTAAGTCAGTAAAATGAGGACCCAGATTGTTGGGGACAAAATGCTGACTCTGTAAACTACTTGGAGAATGCTGTAAAGCACTGTGAAGGGGTATATAAGTCTAAGTCAGTGGTTCTCAACCTGTGGGTCAGGACCCTATTTGGGGTCGAACGACCATTTCACGGGGGTCGCCAAACAACACAGTCTACCATTTTTTTCCCCTTTTCCTTAGCTGTGCTACTCCCTTTTATTCTATTGGCTTTTGAAAGCCAATAGAATAGACTCTCTTGAATAGAGTCTAATTCTATTGGCTTTCAAAAGCCAATAGGAATTGTCCAGGCTGTCTCTGCCCTGCTGAGCCCGCCAAAAGTCACATTCTGCAAACGGTGCTGCACCAGTTGAGTAGTCCTCGACTTACGACCGGTTGAGTGGTTCTCGATTTACGACTGGTTAGGGGTCACGGCATTAAAAAGGTTGAGAACCACTGGTCTAAGTGCTATTGCTATTAAAGAGACATCTATCTGGAGTTAAGAGCAAATTTCCCAACAGCCAGAACAATTAATTAGTGGAATAGCTTGTCTCCTGAAGTTGTGGGTGCTCTGTCGCTGGAGATTTTGATTTTCAATAAGAGATTGAATAACTATATGTCTGCAGTGGTATAAAGTCTCCTGCTCAAGTTAGAGGGCTGGACTAGAACATCTTCAAGGTCCCTTCCATTCCTATGATTCTATGTTAACATTTGTTAGTGAGTTTTGCCCCATTTTATAACTTTTCTTGCCACCGTTATTAAGCAAGCCACTGCATTTGTTGAGTTACTAATATGGTTGTTAAGTGAATCTGGCTTCCCTATTGACTTTGTTTGACAGAAGGATGTAAAAGATGATTTACATGACCATCATAAATAGGACTGAATTGCCAGGCATCTGAATTTCGATCACATGATGATGGAGCTGCTGCAATGGTCATGCGTGTGAAAAATAATCATGTCACTTTTTTCAGTGCCCTTGTAACTTTGAACGGTCACTAAATGAACTGTTGTAAGTCGAGAGGACTACCTGTACCAACGCCATTCTCCTCAGCAGGGAAAATTACGTTGAAGCCTCCCTCTCCCTTTCCTCCAGATCAAGCAACTTCTCTAGAGACATGGGTCCTTGGTGCATCAGGGAAGAGGAGAGCAGAACACCGGGAGCCATTCTCGGGGTCAACGCAAAACAACCTCGTCAAGACCGGTGCTCGAAGCCAGGCGTAACCTCTGAAGGGACGTTCAGGACGATTCCGCTCGCTTTCCGCGAACAGCAGGACTACATCTCCCAGAGTGCCCCAAGTGCTCCGCCCCGCCGGCGCATCCCAGTCCCCGCTCTCTACTCGCTTCTCGCCTCGAGGGAGGCAGGAGGAGAGAGGCGCGTGGGGATGTACCGCGACAACAAGTGCTCGTTCGGGGCACCTAGTCGGAGCCGGCGGGGACGGGCAGCGGCGCTTTGCTCCCGATGGAGTCAAACCTCTGGAAAAGGTCTGTGGAGAGGGCAGGAAGGGCTGTCCGGGCGCTGCCTGGAGATTAAAGGGACGGGAGTTTTATCTCTACTTTCCTAAGCCCCGGAGACCCACGGCTGGGTCTTTTCCCCTCGATCCGGACCCATTCATTTCACCCGATTAACCTGGTCCTTGGTTTAGCCCATTGGCTGGGTTTTGACAATAAAATACACTGAGCTTAAAATAGCAGAGCGGACGGGATTTGCCCCGCACTCTAAAACGAGGTGGGGGGGGGGTTGTCGGGCACACCTCGGATACAAAACTATGAAACTTAGCAAATTGCCTCTGATTGGCTTCAAGATATTGTGTGAAGGTTGACTCCCGCTCTTTGATAGAGTGGCATCAATTGCAAGCCGATTACCCTGCCCCTTCCCCCATCCCAACACGCGCATACTTTCTCTTTCAGGTTTTTGTGTGCCTTGCTTCCTTTCTCTTACTGCACTTGGAGGAAAGCTGAGAGCTGCCCCTTTGAACCGTCTAGGTTCCGAGAGATGATTTCATGGCCAGAGGCAGAGATGGGATTCCAGGAAGTGCTGTTCTTTTTTTTCTTTTCTTTTTTTTCCCTACTGGGATGCTCAGATTTCCACAGGAGAATACAGATCCTGGGGGACTTGAGCTCAGAGGAATATGCTGGCTCCTTTCTGATTAGATTTTTGCATTTGAGTCCTGATGAATGTGAGATGCCAAGTTTGACTTTGCCCTTTTGAATGGCATTTTGCAGGGGGTTGATAGTTTTGCCCTTGAGTGCGGGAAGTGTTGAAGGATCTGTGTGATTGAGCTTTCTTTTCTTTTTTTTTTCAAAATTTGCAAAAGGTTAATTCCTAAAAGCGGATTAGAATGCCTAATTGGTTTAAGATAAGCAGAATTTAGCTTTAAGTGGCTGGTTAAAGCCTTCACATTGACTGTTTCCATCCGCTTGCAGAGATACTGGATAAAAATCAGGGTAATGACTATAATCTTCATTGCAGTTCTGCTCCATTTCCCTTTGTCTCACAACAGATGATCTACTGATGAACCTGCCTCTCCTCTTCCTATGGCAAATGCGGCATCTCCAAGTAAATTTATTTAACTGAGTGGTGGTGGCTGTATCTGAAGTCAGCAAAATGGGAGCCAAAGGTCAGAAGTTGTGGGTTAAGTCACCTCACAACCACTGAGGTTGCAACTTGGCTGCACTTGCCAAAACTACAGAAATGTAAATGGTAAAACGGACTTGTGCTCTGAAGCACCCATGGAAATCTTGCAAATCACCAAAGAGGGAGCTCCATCAGCTGAGGGCCACGGTGTAGGTTTGGGCTTGCATGCTATATCATGCCAGGGCCATCCTGATGAAAGTGGGGCAAAGACTACATTCCTAGTTGTGACTGCTGAATGCTGTGAACACCATTGTAAAGCTGCTGTACAGGAAGCCAAGGAAGATGTTGCTCAGCCCTCTCTCTCCCTCCTTGCTGTATCATCATTGTCCCCAGAAATTACGACAATGGGTCATTTCACCTGCTCCAGCTTTTCAAAGGGAGAGAAGGAGACTGCCCCCCAAAATGCCTGTTGCTGTGAATCGGAGACGTCTTTCACCTGTTTGGATGAAAACACCAACCACCTAAATCACCCAGGGAGTCTTGTACATCGTAGCTGTTGCCAAGACCAGGAGTTCCTTCCCCACCCTGAGCCTGACACAGAGATGCCTCCAGAATGGCCCCATGATCCATCTTCCTTCATTTCCGAGGAAGAAGATGATGCTGGCTCTGAAGCTGCTGGTGGAAAATCTATTGATTACAGCTTTATCAGTGCCATCTTGTTCTTGGTCCTTGGGATTTTGTTGGTGATTGTTTCCTACGTGGTGCCCAGAGATGTAACTGTGGATCCCAGCACAGTGGCAGCACGAGAGATGGAGCGCCTAGAGAAGAAGAGTGCCCGGATTGGGGCTCACCTAGATCGGTGTGTAATTGCTGGGCTTTGTCTGTTGACCTTGGGAGGTGTTGTGTTGTCTAGTTTACTGATGCTGCAAATGTGGAAAGGAGAACTCTACAGGAGGAACCGATTTGCAGCTTCCAAAGAGTCGGCCAAACTGTATGGATCTTTCAATTTCCGAGTGAAAACCTCTACAAGTGATAATATGGAGTTATCACTCGTGGAAGAGGAAGCTCTTGCTGTAACAAGTTAGCCTGGCCTTGATATAATGAAGCAGCAAAAAATGGGAATAGGGGATAATTTGCATTAAATGGAGCAAAGGATCCTTAAAATAGCTAGCGCTACTGACAAAAGCTCCTTTGCCAACACATTAAAGGAAATTTTGCATTATATAGATGTATAATGTTAAGCAGGGAAAGAGAAAGAACACATTCAAAGTAGGATATACAGGTAGTCGGTAACTTACAACCATTCATTCAGTTACCATTCAAAGGTACAACAGCACTGAAAAAAGTGATTGATGATTATTTTTTTCACACTTACAACCATTGCAGTATTCCCATGGACACATCATCAAAATTCAGGCACTTGGCAACTGGCGTGTACTTATGACTGTTGCACTGTCCTGGGGTCTTTTCATCACCTTTTGTGAGCTTCCCAACCAGCTTCTGACAAGCAAAGTAAATGGGTGAAGTCAAGTTTGCTTAATGACCACAGGATTCACTTAACAGTTGCAGTGATGCTTAACAACTGTGGCAAAAATGGTTGTAAAATAGGGTACAACTTACTTAACAATTGCCTTGCTTACCAACAAAAATATTGGGCTCAATTGTGGTCATAAGTCAAGGACTACCTGTACTGTCTATAGAAAGTGCATAGCTGTCCTGGTGTTCATAGAAACCAGCTATGGTGAATTTCCAAGCACCTGAATTTGGAAGGAAGTTTCATTCAGAATTGTGATAGCAAGGTGATACCCACCTTAAATTGTCTACATTATCAGATTGTAACAGCTATTTCATTCACTTATTTACTTATTCATAACACTGATATCCCAACTTTTATCGAGGACCAGCTTCCAATTGTTCTCCACATCATCAGTCCCATGAAGCTTCTTCCAAATTCAGCTACAGAGTTCCCATGATTGAGATCTCGTAGCCCTAGTCTAGCCCCTTGGCTACTCTTGTAACCACCAGATAGATTTTCAAGGCCATATGGGAGTTATATTTATTAGCAGCTGCAAAGTCAGTTTTGTAGAACCATTTCAGGGCATTAAGGAAATAAAAATGCTGCTCTTAAATCTATATCTAGACCTACTGTTTCAGTTTCCCACAAAACGATGCTATGCTGAGGACATTGGAGGAAACTGAAGTGGCCGTGTGAATAGTCAGGAAAGATATTGTGAGTCTTGCTGTGGATTGTTAGGATTCTGGCAGCTACTCCTGGGTGCTGGATTCTGCCAGTGGCCCTGAAGATGGCTTATATGGGTCCTTTGTTCAGTTGGATAGCGTCTTAAATGTATGAAGAGATCATCCCTGATTAATATAATAATAATTATATAATATAATAATAAGAGCCGAGGTGGCGCAGCAGTTAGAGTGCAGTACTGCAGGCCACTTTAGCTGACTGTGTTCAGCAGGTCAGCGGTTCAAATCTCACCGGCTCAAGGTTGACTCAGCCTTCCATCCTTCCGGGGTAGGTAAAATGAGGACCCAGATTGTTGGGGGCAATGTATAATTATATATATATATATATATATATATATATATATATATATATATATACATTGCTTACTGGTGTACACCGCTTAGAGAGTGTTTGCACTTAAAGCGGTATATAAGTCTCATAAATAAATAAATAAGTCTCATAAATAAAATATCATCGCAGAGCAAGCTGAATTGTGTGGAAAGTCAAGAGTAGTTCACTATTGTTCAGAAGACTGGGCATAAAATAATTCTAGGTACAGGAACTCAAATTCTAATTGAGTATTAGAAAAATAAAAAGTTAAGTATTAAAACAGTTGGAAATTAGAAACAGCTAAAGGAGTTCGCTTAATTCCAAATTAATGTTGGAGAGTAATGTTGGGGGTAAAGTGGAAGAGAGACTCTCTGGTCTCAGTCAATTGGTCCAATTCGGTGCCCAGGTCCAACTCAGCATCTTGGGCAAATGCAGCTGCTGGTTTTTTAACTGACTTAGTGCCTAGATGGACAAGATCAGAAAAGGCTACAGGAAGATTAGAACTATACTTTATTAAGAAAAAGTACAATAACATAATCTTGTAAGCCTAGTTGTCCTATCCCACCCCTTTCTTCCTATACTCCAGTGAATCAGATAAGTGTTTCCTCGAGGCACTTCCAATTATTATCTTACTTCCCAGGACTTAAAGAAAGTCTCTGTCTTTTGCTTAGATAATAGTTCTCACATATTTCTATCAAGGTGATTTCCTTTACTTCATGGGTGAATGCATCCAGTTTGCCTTGTATGTTCAGTAAAATAAACATGAAATGGAAACCATGTTTTGTTTTGAACCAGGAGCAAACACATTGTTTCTTGGAAGTTCTGCCAAACTTCTGCCTGGGATATTGTTGGCAGAACCAAAATCTGAAACGTTAGAAGTTCCAGATTTCAGCTGAAACAAAATCCAGACAAAATTTACAGGGCAAGTAGGGCAAAGTTAGAGCACTTCTCTTCTCCACATTGCCTGTGCATTGATCCACCTGTACCTCTCCTTATGCTGTGCTTCAAGCCAAGGACATTGGTGATGACAATAAAGGAGGTAAAGAAAAGAGGACAGACAGGCTAATTGGATATGTTGATTGGAAATCCAAGACAGCAGTACAAACTATCATCCAGTCACCTTCCCACAGTGCCTTTCCTTCTGTGTTGTTGCCACTGCCATCCACTGCCTTGGCTGTATCCCATTCTACCACCCAAATATTTCTGCCTAGAACACACAAGTTATGTTCAGCATACAGAGGACTGGAAACCAGCTGATTGATACACATAGTAACTCATATATAGGACAAAGAGAGGTGGTGGCACAGTGGTTAGATTGCAGTAATTCAGGCTAACTCTGCCCACTGCCAGGAATTTAATCCTGATCGACTCAAGGTTGACTCAACTTTTCACCCTTCTAAGGTTGATAAAATGAGGACCCAGATTGTTAGGGGCAATATGCTGACTCTATAAACCACTTAGTAAGGTCTATAAATAGCAATAGCACTTAGACTTATATATCGCCTCATAGTGCTTTACATCATTCTTTAAGTGGTTTTACAGAGTCAGCATATTGCTCCCAACAATCTGGGTCCTCATTTTACCGACCTCGGAAGGATGGAAGGATGTCAACCTTGAGCTGTTCAGAATCAAACTCCTGTAGTGAGCTGTGAGTTAGCCTGCAGTACTGCATTGTAACCACTGCATCACCATGGCTCTATGTAGTAAAGCATCATGAATGGTATATAAGTCTTAAGTACTATTGCTTTTTTTATTTTGAACTGCTGCATTTAATAGCAAGACATCATGTGTTGAAAGATAGGCTATCTGTTCATATCTAGACCAGACTTGATATATGCTGGCTTAATTCAAAATAGACAAGACTGAACAACTATTTCTGTGGGTCCTGAGAAAGCTTTTGATATGGTTTATTGGAAAGTTTTGAGGTTAGTTTTGTATAACTTTGGATTTTGGAGTGATGCATTTTATTTAATTCTGAAATAATAGTTTGTTTTGATGCCAGAGATAGGCTCACTAAAAGGGAATAATGAATAATCTGAAGTTTTAGATGTGGGAAATATTCCCACATATGTTCCAATTTGCAATTTAATATTGCACTCATGATGTGCCAACTTTATTGAATCAGTTCCATATCATTAAATCTAAGATGCTATCTTGACTTTTGCATCATAGTAGACCATAGACACATGATAGGGTAGCACTTCCTATTTTGCATCTACATCAGTACTTTTTAAACCTGGCTACATTAAGATTTGTGAACTTCAGTTCTAGCTGGAGGATTCTGACAGTCTGAAGTCCACCCTTCATAAAATAGCCAAGTTTGAAAAACATTGTCTAGGTCATATCTAGATTCTTTTTCAAAAAACTCCTATGATTCTCCAATCTTAGTAGGACAAGAGATTTGGAGGGTAATAGATTTGGGAAGAAGATTACTAGTTTTGTCACTCAGAACATGGTGCTTTCTACTTTCTGTGGATTATTTTTTGTCTCAGTAAATCCATAGTTCTCTTTCTACCCCACTCCCTTCTCTAAAACATGAATAGTTCACATTCTAAAACACCTATATCACAATAGCATCCATGAAATAGTTTTGTAGTATTGCTTCAATTTCTGCAAATATGGGAACTTGAAAGAATGAAAGGAATTTTTCCAGAAGGGAAAATTTGTGTACCATGCTTTAGGAAAGAGGAGATAGCTATTTCAAAAATGGGTGGGGATGCTTCATATAATAATATTCACATTTATCAGGACATTTCTCATAATCAAAATGAGAATGGATACATTCTCATTGTGCTGTTCTCTTCTAAGAGAGATAAGTAATGTTACGCAAAGTACAGAAAAGAGTAAGAAATAACATAATAAGCCATAGAATTAAGGTGCAAGATGAGAAAAGGGGGAAGTATAACTAATCAAGTGGACAGAAGCTTCTACACAACCATTTTAACTTTATTTCAAGAGATCTTGCAGCAGATCACAAATTAATCAAAAACTTTCTACCACCATTTGCACATCTTAATATCTCCATCTTGCCATCTTTAATCAACTTCCTACCACATAGTTCAAATTTATCTATTTGAGTTTTTCATCATTTTCGGCATGTTTCTGTTAACCAATTACCTTAGACTTGGATGTTAATTTTCAGATTTACAATCTTTGTTGCATCGTACAATCCACCCATCATTCAGTGCACATTTTTTGGGTTGTCAGCCTTTGCAGCATCTGCTTTATAGAGCTTATGCATAATTATATTCCAACCCAGCACATTTCTGCCATCACTTCAAGCATTCCATCAATACTCTAATTAACCAAAATATTACCATAGAGGAACAAATGTTTGCAGTGGCTTGAGACAATAAAAAGGCCCCTCAATTGAAGGGAGGTTATAGGCTACAAAACCAAGAGTACAAATGGTTCCAGGGTGCCAGCTAATGTAGATCAGGATACAGGGCTCAGAGGTCTGATGCTGGGGGATAAAGAAAATCTCTTGAAGCTTTCTAAATCCAGCTACTTGACTTAGATCAGGCTGTTTAACTGAACCGTACAAATGTCATGCTATGAAAGTGTGCTGGTATTTAAAACAAAAGGCATAAGCAGGATGCCCAGATGGTGGTATAATTAGTTTCATAATTCAAAAACACTTCAGACTGGACCATTTTCCAGGTACCTCTGTGAGTTGGCTGGACAGTGATTTGGCAGTCGGTAGATATTTGCATATTTCCAAAATTAAGTGTACCAATCCCCTTTAATTTAATAAAGGATACACATGGAAAAGTGGGCTTTTATCCCTCTGTAGCCCTCTGGGGCCTTCTTCTTGATCCTGGCAGCTTCTGAGCTTT